TCCCTCTGAGTGGGATGGCAAACACCAGCTTTCATTCTGATCTTTATTATTTCTTTCTTTCCTTTAATCAAAAAAAGGAGCTATGAAATAGCGAGGCAGTAATTGCTACTATTAGCAAGCTCACTGTCAATAGTCTGAACATGCTAATTATTAGCATATAACTACAGCTCTGGTTCAGTCCATTATTCCAGGACTTTTCTTATACTGTTTTTTTCTTATACAAGGCTTTCACTTTTAGAAAGTGTGAGCTACAGTTCTCAAAAAGCAGCACAAGGCAACACTTTTGGCAGGAATTGACGACAAGTGCTAAGATGTATAGAACAGGCAAGTTCGTTTTTAATAGGAAGTTTTTAGGAATAGGAAATCTTTCCATTGCAGTGGGTATTGCAGTGCATGCAGGGCTGTCTGGAGGATGTGATCTCTCAGCAGTTTGCCCAGCACTCTATGGCACTGCCAATTTGTTCCACTAGGTGAAACTTCTTTGCCCACTCCGCAACCAGTGTTTTTTTTTCTATCTGTTTATCTCGCTTCTTTCTAAGCCATCTCTTTCCAGTGGAGCAAGTAGATTCTGTAGAGTCCTTCCAGATGATACTAAACAACGTGGTGAGTGCAGCTGAGCTTGGTCTACCAGCAGAGTAAAACAAGCCATGCTCTGTGCACTAACCTCCAAGAAAAAAGCCTCCAAACAGACTGTCTTGTCTTATTTTTCTCACAATCAATCTACCCCGGGTATGGAGAGACCACAGGCTGGGAGTACAGCAGGGGTCTCTATTTTTAAGAGGGCATCTCGTTGGTGAAATGTTCTACTCCAAACCCAAGAATCGAGACGGCCTTTGACTGATGGTGTTTGTGTGTTCCTTGACCCTTTGCACGCTCACTTGACAGCCTAGCTTGGTTATACCCTTTCTTTCATTTGCCTTGCCCCACTGCTCATGTTTCTTTTGCTTTGCTCCTTGTAGACCCTTCTTCGAGATGGCAGGAAGGAGAGTACAGTCAGCACTCTGTACATTTCACCATCCAACATCGAGACGGGACAGACCATCATCTGCCGTGCGTCGAACAAAGCGGTCCCCAATGGCAAGGAGAGCAGCGTTACTATTGACATCCAGCGTGAGTAAACACTCACCCTCTCTCTCTCTCTCTCTCTCTCTCTCTTCCGATGTCTGCCCCAGTTCTTTCTGCTGTGGATTGAGAGCACAGCCAACAGAGATTATGTTACTCTAATTGGACACATAGCACATGGAGGCAGGGTGCATCCAAATACACAGGAGACACCTGCTACAACCTGATATAGAAAACCTCTTCTTTATTCTTCTTTCTTTATTTCTGACTTCTCATCTATTTCTGTACCCGAGAAATCTCACATTCTCCTAATTTATACCTCTTTCAACTCCTAACACACACTACTGGCAAGGTAACTCTAACAGGAAAGAGCTGTGTGTGCTGCAATGCTAATGAACTACGCATGGATTTAATAGGGTGTAAGCATTCACTTTGCATCTCTGCATCATTAAGATTTACTCTCTGAAACTCTCTGTGGATTTGCATTTTCACTCAGACTAATACATTCTGAAAAAGAAAGCAGATATTGTGTGTGTGTGTGTGTGTGTGTGTATGTGATGATATGAAGTTTGCATCATCGTTAGACAAACCTTTTTTAAAAAAAAAATTTAATAATGAATAGAACTTTGCTTCTTTTTGACTTTGTTCAAATTTAACTCCGATATTTTATTCTCATTTTATCTTTGTCAACCCCTCCTCCTTCCAGATTTCCACTTGTGCCAGGCAGAAGGCACCCAGCATGCAAAAAAAAAAAAAACTAGCGCAATAGTCAGACAATCTTTTTTTTTTTTATCTAACACTATTCTCCAGAATTATCAGAGCGAACAAAAGCATCGCCATATTTCATCAACCCCACCCTCCTTCAGCACTATTAGCTATGACTAATAAAGCAGAAAATGCTATTTAGAGATCCATTATTGTTGATGGCTCCATTCTTTTTTCGCACATTCCGTAAGAAAGACTCAGAGAGAACGTGTTGGTGTTTAGCAGTCGTCGAGTTTTGCGCAAAACTTTGTATTATGCAGTTTGATGGGCAGCTTATGATAAGTTGGCAAAAATGGCCATCTGTCAGTGGAAACTAAATAGAGGGGATGTGCTAAGCATCCCCTCTCAGAGCAGATATTAATAATAGCCTTTCTTCCCATTCAACAAACAATGAAAGAAAATTACTGCAGGTATCTGCTTTTGTCTCCATTATAAACATTAGCTGTTTCCTCTGTCTCATTCTTTGCACTCCTCCCTCCATCATCATGCTTTAGGGATATATTGAGATGCCAAAGCACTGCCACTGTCCACCTCACACACCCACTTCAACAGCCCTCTTTTAATTAAACCATGCGAGAAATCAAACGTAGTATAATTGAACTTTGATTCAACTGCGGCGGGCCTCCAGTATGCTAAGACTTGCTGCTTTCTAATTTCATTCAATTGTTGTCCGCTCTCCATGCTAGAGAGGAAAATGAGAGAGAGAGAGAGGGAGAGAGAGAGAGAGAGAGAGAGAGAGGATGGATAAAATGTATTCAGATGCACAGCACAGAACGAAGCTTGTTGAAAGATTTTCAAAGCAGTTAAAACGAATGTCCCTAGGAGAGACGAAGGTGAGCCCGAAAGGTCACACATGCAAAGAGGATAATTAGGCTTTCAGTATTACACGCAGTCACTTACCCACTCAGCTTTATACACGACCGAATAACTGGCGCTCTAAGTGGGCTTGTGTACAATGCAAAGCATCAAGCACCAAAGGAACACGAAGAAATGTGATTCATTGCTGACTTTCTGCTATTATGCACAAACAGGTGTTTGATGAATATGAATGTGGAATGGTTGTAGGAAAGTGAGCACTGCTAAACCACCACCCTTCAAGCCACAAGGGGGTGCTGGGGGTTTGGAGGTTCATACCGAGAAGGGGTTGCCTTTTGAAAATAGATAAAGAGAGAGACAGTAAACCTCTTGAGGGCAGGACACACATACTGTATGTGCACACCCATACAGGCACACACTGGAAGGTTATTTCCAAGTAAAACGAACTGCTCATTTAGAGACAGGACATTACGCCATTGCATATGCAAGCAAAAGATAGGCAAGTGCGAGGCACGTGTGGATTTATGACTTCCTAACCAAATCATCTTGGATGTTTAATGTACTGTGTTCAAAGAGGAAACACATTTATTATTCATTCCTTATGCAAGATCATAATAAGATGCTTTTGAAGCATCTCATCAATTCCAATGGGAAATTCCAAACGTTTAATGTAGGCATGTTCTATTGCATGATCAGTTTGTCATATTTCCAGTTTAGGCAAGGTCATATTTGTCATGATGTAGATCATTGGGCACAGCTGCTGTTTTAGCCCCTCGTGTTACCTCAGATACTGGATAAGCCCAAGTGAATGTCAGTTTTCTTTTTAGGAGAAAGAGCAACAGTTAAGCAAAGGCTTCAGAAAGGTAGACAGAGAGAGCAGTAGACAGAGAGGTAGCTAGGGACCTTGTCCTAGTTTGCAGTGCTTTGCAGCCTGTGTAGGAAGCTCCCTTGAGCGTTCAGCATTAGGCACAACCATAGTGTAGTATTTCAACCAAATGGCATCCTCTTATACTGCAAGCAGAACCTTCCGAGGTCATGATCGTGATCTCCTTTCATTCATGTCCTATCGACATTTAGTACTGAAAAACCCAAACAGTTATCCTCAATAAAAACATATAGAGAGAACCAATGAGTGAGGGCGACATTTGGACCAAGAAAACAGGACCCAAGCTCCTTGAGCTTCTTCTCATGTCCTTTCCAATGACCAGTTCTTGACTTTCACTAATTGACATATTTGGTCAATGTGATGTAATTGGCAACAAAAGTAATTAAAGGCTTTTTTTATTATTATTTTATTTTGGATTTCACTCCAGCTGGGATAATTTATATTCAGTTTTCTCAGAGATAAATCTCTCCCCGTCTCATAGAGCACAGTCCAGAAATTATTCACTGACTCACTTTACAGCCTGGCTTGTCAAATTCAATGCGTTTTATGGCCTTATCTGCTCTCCTTACAATTGAATCCTTGATAAATTAGATGCATCCCTGCATGTCTACTTACCATAAGCCTTCATAACAGATTCTGACCCAGGGTTAATCAAATAAGCATCTAAATATGAAATTTACTAGTGAGACCAAATGATGCATTCAATTGTAAAAGGTTACATCCCTCCTCCTGTAGATTGATATGTGAATGCTACGTACGAGTAAATGAGTACCTCTAAGATAAATACCTGCATTATTAATAACTGCAAGAATGTGAAACTACAGATGCAAGAGAAAGATGGAGAGATATTAGCATTTTGTCAAAAAGAGTGATTTGGTGACATGAGGGAACTCAGCAACTTTTGGGAACGTGATCAGGTTAGTCAAGACCAGTCATATATCAATATGTCATACAGCACCCAAAGTGTAATAAAATAAGATAAACACATACGTCGCCTCCACCAGTAGCAGAACATCGAAACAAATGTAACTAAGTATAAAATTGGATCATCAGCCTTTTTTGAGCTTGCTGCTTGTGCAACTTTGACCCTCCTACATTCCAGCATGATAAATATCACGTGGACTTGTTTGATGAGCATGATGGAACAGTGGGGAAAGCAGGTGAAACGCCATAATACGTATCACATACTCTAGCTGAATTGTACACTAGGTGAGTAGAGAAGTAGGTAGCATTGCTGCCTCACACCTCCAGCATCCCTGGTTTGATCCGGAGATTGGGTTACTGTCTGAATAAAGTTTAATATGTTCTCCACTTGCTTAGGTAGGTTCCCTATGGGCTCCCAGGTTGGTCGGTGGATGACCTATTCTAAATGTATGCATTGCACCATGATGATTGATTGGTGTCTCATTCAAGATGTATTTCCACCAAGAACGCAGTGTTCCAGGGATAGGTTATGGATCTATCCGAGGTGGCAGTGGTGGCTCAGTGGTTAAAGGCTCTGGGTTACTGATTAGAAGTTCAGGAGTTCAAGCCTCCACTGCTGTGCCCTAGAGCAAGACTCGTAAACCTCAATTGTTCAGTTGTATAAATGAGATAAATGTAAGTCACTCTGGATAAGGGTGTCTGCCAAAAAATGCCGTAAATGTAAATCCACTATGGCATTTCCCTAACCAGGATAAAATCAGTTACCGATGATGGATGAATGACAATGATGACATCCTTATCTGATATCTTTTATTAAAGCAAGCAGAGGTGGAAGTAGAAGCAGTGGGAGTGTTAGAAAGAAAATAGCATGTACATCAATCATTTTGTCTGTGGAGTCCTTTTGATGTAACATTATGGTGCTCTTGTAGAATAAAGAAACCCCATACTATACCTCTTCTTGTATTCTTTAGTCATGAAGGGGTCTAGCCTCCTATTTCACAGCCTCCATCAGCATCCTCCCTTCTTTAAAACCCTGATTTACCCCTGTGTAGCTCTCTTGGGGAACAGCTGGCCACTGTGACCCAGTGAGGAGGGAGATTGCGCTTTAAGAGAAAGGACTAAGCCACTCATACTGCCTTATCCTGCTGCAAGAAGTTGGCCGATTGTTCCAATATGCCATCTGCTCTCTGCTTTGAACTTCCGTTCAAAAAGCTGTCAGCACACTACTGTCGTCGTCTTCTCATTATTTATTTATTTATTTTTTCCCCTCTCTTGCTGCTCTTCTGCTCCCCTGTTGTTGTCAAATCTGTCATGATGGTGGCTGTGTTTCAGACCCCTGTGTGCACTCTCCAGATGAAGGCGAGGAATTAGCACCGCTGCATATTGATGGCTTGTCGCTCACACGAGGCTCAAACCAGAGAGCAAACTCATGCATTTATACATCAAAGTGACAAACCGATTTTATTAAGCCGAGGGAGCTGTCTCAAGCCACAGCCAAACTGCCTATAGGGGCTCTCGCATGGTGTCTACATGACCCTTCTAACCCAGTTACCCAACTCTCTTTCTCTTGGTTCCATATGTCTGAGGAGACCAAGAGGTTGCGTGTCTTGATGTTTAAAAAGGCGAGTCGGCGTTTTGTCACAAGTGATGTCCTCTTGAAAGAACCACATGCATTAGCATTGAAATGTTCACCCTGTCTCCTGAGAAGACACTAAGAAGGACAGTCTCTGTTGGAGCTGCTTTTTTGACCTGATCCCAGAGTTGTAAGTCTCCATTTGAAACTTATCAACAAATGGTGGTTTGTCAGAATTCCTTTTCATACAATGGTGGCAATTTCCTTTTTGGCTTGGACACCAAAAGTTGTTGAAGGTTAGACAATCACAGTGCAGGTGAAGCCCTACCACCCACTTGGCTGCTTCTCTGGTTTACTTGCAGCTATATCTGCTCAATTTGGCCAATTAGGAAATACTAACTTTACACAGGTAGCCGTATGGTGACCATGCGGCCCGCTGTGTGATCAGCTTGACTGCCTGGTGGAGCAGGATGTCTCATGGGCTTAGAAATTTGCATTCCATCTTGTGCTGGCAGGGAAGGACCTGGCACAGGTGTCTGTGTATCTGTGTGTGTGTGTGTGTGTGTGAGAGTGTATCTGTGTGTGTGGTGAGCCATAGTCCCTGCACAGACAGAGGCAGAAGAGGTTCAGGATGCCACCTGGAACACATTCCAACTGGGACTGCAGCAGCTGAGCTCACCCTGTCCAGCTGTGTGCCTTCAGGGTACATAAACTACAAGAACACACACACACACACACACACATACACAAAAACGCTCATCTGGGATGCGGCAGTTTGAGCCTAGTGTGATTCCATTCTTCATGCCAGTCTCTGTGCCCATTTCTCTCCACCACTGCTCGAGACCATGCCCAATAGAGATTATATTGCCTTAATTAGACTCGCAGCACATCGAGACAGGAATACATCCAAATACACACACTGCATTGGCACCACCCGTATCCTGGTTACTCTTTCTTTTTTTCTCTGCCTCTTTGTAGTCCTCAAAACTTTATCCCTCCATCCCCCCACCATTGTGAAATTCCGCAGTGATACCACTTGACACATGCAGTCTGTTCACAAATGTCTATAACCTGCATAATAATGCTTTCCTTTTTTCCTTTTGTTGGATTCTTTTTCTTTCTCTGGTCCAGTGGTCTCACAGAAACATGACTCCCACGGAATATGGCATTTGGCTCTTGGCTCTTGAACAGATATGAAGGACAAGGGAAAAGAAATGAGGTTGAAATTGCTTTTTGAACTGGAAATCTCTAGGCTGAATACGACCGCACTCAGGCTCCAGTGCCAATTGCTCTGATATTTTCACCATTAGTAGCAGGGTAAAAATCATTAAAAAAGATGTGTTACATGGCTATCTGGACTACGGAAAACCTAAAAATACGCGAAATTTATGACGTTTTAGTCATTTAGGAAAAAAAATAGGTTCCATCGAATCATAAAGTTTCCGTCTGTAATAATAAAGTCTCTTATACACACTATACATAATGAGCGTGCTTTTAACAAACTTCGTACTGTTTGTCTTTATATTATAAAAAAAAACAAATAATGACTTATAATCCCACTTTCCAGTGTCACCCAGAAGAGGATGGGTTCCTTTTGAGTTTATTTCCTTTGTTTTTCCTCACCACCTTCACAACTGACTTGCTCATTAGTGATCTAAATATACAGTACATCCAGATTTAACTGCTTTGTGTCAATGTTTATTACTAAAAGTGCTATTCCAATCAAATTTTTCTGTATATAGTTCTTTGTATTGTCGCAGTGACAGAAGTTTTAAAGCTTCTATATTGATCCCAACCACATAGAGTTTCCAATTCGCAGAGAGTTTCAAAATGAAAACCCTTTAAGGAAACTAAGAACCATTGTTTATATTGTCAAAACTTTACTTAATATACAAATGCTTGTAATGTTCAGACATTAATTTCAGACAATTACCAAGTAAGTTCCTATGTAACTGGAACTTTCTGGCAATATATACAAATTGTTTTTGTTTTGTTTTTTTGTTTGTTTTTTTGTAGTAGAGTACTTATTATGTATCTTTTAAGTGTTGTTTTTTGGATTCGGGCTTTGATCCATCTTAACCACCGGAACAGCTCTGTAGAGAGTGCATGAAGAAATGAAAGAAAATGAGAAACGGTGCATGAGAACCAAAGTCAACATTTACTTAATGAGCATAACTGATGGGCTTGTTATTTTTAAGCCCACTTTTATATCACGATAATTGTACTGTTTGCTTCTTACTTTAATACTCGACACATTAGGAGGAAATCAGACTATAATTAATCCTAATATGTGTATTTGAACATTAAATATTCATCATGTCCTTACCATCTCTTTACCATTTTTTTTAAAGCCTGAATTTAATTTCATCAGCTAGTCCAGAGAATAACAACTACACAAGATACATTTGTATTCCAGAGTCATTTTTACTAATAGTCATAGTGACATTTCATATAACCGAGCAGGTTTACTAACTGAATACAATATTACTGCGATATTATCCAGTATTTATGCTGGTGAGGGTTGCCAGTACAGTATAAACTCTTCTGGACTATGCATGCTTTCTGTTTGTCTTGTGGGATTATGCAATTTACTGTTATCTGGTGCCCCAAGAACATTTGGAAACAATGTGTGACACAGAAAATTACATGTTTATTCATTTCAATTTCATTACATTCATCTCAATCATTAGGAACTGTACTGTATTAAAGGCTGATTGTCATGAATAGGGTCCTAGTCATCGTAATCATGTTAAGAAGATTCTACAAAAAAATAGCAAATGCAACACAATGGGTTCCACTCACATTTACGAGCTGCCAGCTTATAATTTAGCACTTAAATAAATACAGCATATCCAATTTTGGATATTGGACAATGAACTAGACCTATCATGTTAGGAGTATCTTTATACATGTTTTTAAAGTTAACAGATTGTGTTAATTTTTTGTTCTGTTTTGTTTAATTTGAACTACTCTCTGTAGAAAGCATAGCCCATGGTAATATGGAGAAGGTGCCCAAGCTGTCATATCAGTTTAAGTCGCTCTAGGTAGAGTTCATAATTTGATTATAATAATCAGCGTGCCATTTAAAATTAAATCAATTAGATGTTTTTTAAAAATTATTATAATTTTTTTCATTCTCTGATAAGAACTGGTTCCTGTGATTTCCTTAATATGCAACCAATACAAACAACAGTGGATTCTCCAGGGACAATTCATACAAATAATGAATTCATTCATAATTTCATAACTACATATTTAATGTTACACTCAAATACCATTCCACAACTTTTAAGATTGTTTAAAATATCCAAAATATGTTTCAACGCAATATATATTGTGGGTACACCAATTTGTCAGAGAGTGGCACTGGATTTAATACTGCTCTTCACTTGGATCAATATCGCCCAATTGCCACAAAAAATCAATATCGCTCAATTGTCACAAAAAATGTCTGAATCAGTCCCTCGAGGATTTTCAAATTTTGTGATTGCAGAAATGAATGCAAAATTATGAAAACTTCACTATACTCGGAGGAGCTTGTTATTTTTCAAAATAAGCACAGATTTTCCTGATGATTAGGGCCAAGACACATCGTGTGAGGTCATCACCACACGCATTCAGCAAAAGCCCTCTTTGATTAAAGTGATAAAAATGTCTCAATTACGACCCAACATCACCGCGAAAGACCGTGGAAAATTGTTTCATCCCGTCACAGATTTTGAAAACAGCCACAGCAAAATCAAGCATTTTGGCTGCAACAATCATGGTCTGAGTAGTGCTTCTGTAGTTACATCTGAAAACAAAGTACACAATTTCAATACTAACTCGCTACTATACATGCACAATTCAACTGAATATGGTCCAAATTCAGTCATCACTAGCAATCTTAATAAACCGAAATACATGATTAATTACAATCATTTCCACCTTAGTATTTTGCATCCTGCGAATAAAAATGTTCACTTCCCAACCTACTAAAGGTGCTGAAAGAATCTGTTTGATGAATGTAAAAAGGTGTTAAGACAAAAAAATATTATTTGCATTGGTG